GTGTGTGTGTGTGTGTGTGTGTGTGTGTGTGTGTGTGTGTGTGTGTGTGTGTAAGAGAGCACTGTTTTTATCGAGAAGGTCAGAGAAAGACAGAGGCGTTAGAGGGAAGAGGAAGGCTAATCAATATCTCCTCTACTTAAACTCTTACTCCAAGACTAATCGCAGTCCAGTGGTGACTGTCATTTCTAATTAGTGTAAAGCCTCTCTGCTTTATTCACCTCTCTCCCTGCCTTAACATGGAAAATAATGGGTTGATCTTTCGCTGTACAATATACACAGCAGGCTCAAGTATTCAGGAACACAGTCATGGTCCTGCAGTTCTTCAGTCATGACAGACATTAACTTTGGTTGGATTTAAAGGACATCCACATTGCTTTATTATGCAAAATATAAAATACTGTCATCAGACAATCTGATGACTATATTTCTCTGAAAGTAGCTCCTGAGTTTTGAGGGTTGGTTACTTCTTAGAGCATCTTCCAAAAAAACAAAAAAAAAACAAAAAAAAAAAAAACTTATCACCTTACTTGACCTGGTTTGGGATTAGCACCAAACAAGGAGTGACTGGCTTCTACAGGGGATTCCGCTCACTTTTGGAACAAACCTCAAGTGGCCACTTGAGGAACTGCACCCGTGGGGTGTCATCACTTTAAGGACGAAAACACCGGGTGAATTTACCAGAAGGCAGAGGATCAAAGTAACAATGAACAAAGCATTCCATGCAGTTTTCCTTGTGGTTTGTCTTATTATGCACATGGGAACATTTTAGGAAGTACCAGCCTTTAGATGGGAAAACACCAAGCCTGCTGGTTTCTACAGCTTAGTTCCTTGTTCTTAATGTCAGTCAGCACATTACACAACAGGTATACTTAAGCTTGGTCGACAGTCAAGCGTAAAAGCCAGAAACAGTGATGGTTGTGCCACAAATTTACAGACAATTCAGTTTTGTTTGTTTTGTTTTTTAAAAACCAACTTTATTAATACTTTCTGTTAAAGCACAATATATAAAAAAAAAAAGGGTTTAATTCCAAGTCGTTTAACAGAGCATAGTGGCATTTGCTTCAGAAAACAGAAACAAATCACTACTTGTACAATGTGAAAAATAAAAGTCCTTCTCCTTCAGTGACTGAGCTTAGCTGGGTCAGCGTAGACAAAAAGATTCATCTTCCTAGCAGAAACTCTGGAAAGCTGGCATTATAATAATAATAATAATAATAATAATAATAATAAACACATTGCTGCTACATTAAGGCCAAAGCCCAGGCATATTTGAGGAAACCTTCCTTGGTAAAGTGACAATGGTGTATATGCGTTTTTCCTCATCTTTTTAATATTCTTTGAAATTAAATAAAACTGAAAATGAAAAGCTTGGCAAGCAAGTATTGCACATACCGATGTCCCAGTACCCTAAAATACCGAAACTCACTAGCACATCCGAGAGAGGAAGTTTATAGGTGAGGTTTTCAGAGGAAGCAGCTGCTGTTCAACAAATGCCAATTCTTTTTGGATACAACCGTTCTGTGTCTGTGTCTTTAGTGTTTTTAATTTTATCTCTGTCCAGACGAGAGATAAACTCGTGAAGATTGAGCGGTCTATGAAAGAAACCGAGTGGAGTGTCAGTAAGATTCAGTTCTGATCAAAACAAGACGAAGACTGTGGTAGTCTTTCTGCAGTTTGTGCGATGCGTGCCAAACTCAGGAGCAGTATGCTGCAAAACCTCTAAATACCTCCTCATTGGCATTAAAAAACAAAAAATGTACATTAAGAAAAAATAACTGCATTTCAAGCCATTACATAAAAGTTTTAAAATGTCAAAGCTTCAAAAATAATTATTAAAAAACAAAAACACCCTCAATTAAATACCGTTTTTAGCCAGTCTAGGAGGGCTAGGAGCTACTCACGATGGAGCATTCAACCAAAATACAAGTTCAAAAGCATAATTGTGTATCAGGTCAACTGATGCAATAATTTAATTCACAATAAGAGCCTAATCTTAATAAAAATGATACTGTGGCAGGGCATAATGATATTTTAAAAAATAAAATAGACAATGTTTGGACAGAATGACACACAAAGAGCAAAAAGGAAGGAAAAAAAAATACTAATGAACCAGTGACAAACTGAACATCATCAAAAACAAAGAATCAGTGTAGTTTAAGTGCGGAGATCTTTAAATATGCTCAGGAGTTTCCATTTTTGGTCATTTCTGAAGTTCAGTCAGGGACAGAAAAAGGGAAAAAAAGCTGATGAAAAAGCAAATGTTCCTCCTTTTGTATGAAATCTGTCTGTTATAACTTCAAAGTGTTCACGGTGGAGTTCTTGGTGGTGCCGTCTTTATGTGTGGTAGAGCTTGTGTTCATACTCTGTGGTGGAGCAGGTGTGAGGAGAGGCCGTGTCTCTGTGGATGGGCGCGGGAATATTGCTGCGGTGCTGGTGGTTGTCTGTCAACGTCAGGTTCAGGAGGCTGGTGCAAGTGGGCAGGTAGACATGCTGCACGTGCTCCACCTCCGATCGACACACGGGACACAACTGGGGGGAAATAGAGGAAGAAAAGCATTTAAAATACATCTGTTTAAGAGGGGAAACAGGAAAACTGCACCACTTTCACAAACACGTAGGCCTCGTGATTTCAATGTGCAACTTTGATCGTGCTGCAGTGAGGGCAACACAAACTTAACCACAAAACTAAACTGTGATTCTTTCCAAAGAAGTAAACGTTTCCTTTTGCCTTAAAGTTTCGGAGTGATTCACACATCTATTAGTTGGGTCACGTTTCCCCATTTGAATTAATAGAAGAGAGATTTGCCTGGCTGACATAATCCCTTCATAAGGGCACACTCACACACACCATCTGCTTCCACAAGATGGGCCACATTTAGCTGATTAAGTGTGGGGGACAATCAGGTCAGCAGAGTGTAAAGCAAGGCTTTGGATGTTGTTTAAAAGACCATAAAAAAAAAAAAGATAAGAATCTGGAGCTAAAATAATTTAAAAAGGCTTTTGGTGAAACTGAAAACTCAACGTAGGAGCAGAAACTGTTTGATTTTCAAGCAAAAGTCACTTTTAAGGAGTCATTTGTCAGCACATGTGACTGTGGAGAAATCCTCACCTGAAGCTGATTTGCGCAGGTCTGGCAGCACACCATATGGCCGCAGGGGCAGAATGCAGCATCTATCTCCTCCTCGCAGCAGAGCATGCACAGCAGAGCCTCTCTGAGCTTCTGCAGACGTTCCTGCAGGGCGCGGCTTTGCTGGCAGCTGCCACAGTCCAGCCCCTTGTCCTGCTCGCCGTCCCTGCTTGGGGAGCGTGAAGGGGAGTAGCGATCCCTGCTTTCAGAGCGGGAAATCAGGTCCACCACGCCAGAGTTGTAGAGCGCTCGCCGAGCGTGGTCGTACACTTCCTTGGCGGTACGGCGGATGTCAAAAACGTACTTTTTGCCCAGGTTGATGTTTTCGTTGAGGAAGAGTGAGGCGAGGTGGCCCTTGAAGTCTCTGCTGTACTGCATCATCACTGCATTGGTAACTGTGTCACACCTGAAAATAAAATAAAAAATAAAAAAAATAAAAAAGCATTAATACTACTGCCAACGAATTTGAGCTTTGATTTCAGTTTAAGATAATCAATACAAATTGTGACTTGCAACCATCCTGTTCCATTTACTACTAAAATACATGATTTGTCTGCAGAGTTAAAAACAAACAAACAAACAAAAAAAAAAAAACTATCCTGGCAGCTAAAGGACAGGTCTGTCTTTGTATCATTGTGATTGAGAACAATTTCATAGCTCAGCCATCTAAACTGTCCCTGCTCACTGCAAAGAGAGTTTTGGGCATGCGCGCGCACACACACACACACACACAAAAAGCCGTCTTGCCCAGTCTACATTTTCACTTTCATATTTACTTAAGCAGGTCAGGCAGGCAGGGACACTTTATGCTCTCCTAAAGAGAACAAAACAAGTTTTTACAGAGCACATTTTAGGTTATGTTTTACTGCACCCCTCTAATAATTCACTAGTGTTAAGTGAAGGATAGTCCACAATAAACAGACTGGTGAATGACTAACAACAAAGACTGCTGACTGACACACACACACACAAAAACTTATTTCAATATTTAAACTCATCTGGGCTCATGACATTAGGTGAGCTGCAGACTTTGTCCTGTGATTTCTAACATTTGAGATGCAATAACTTACAGTTATGTTTTAAAGCTTTGAACCACTTCTCTTAAATGCAACCATAGTAGCTGCTCTAACCCTCACCTGTAGAAAGCATGCGTCTCTGTGATGGCTCGGTACAGGCCGCTGGCTGCCCGGTTACTGATCAGCTTAAACAGAAGCACAACGCTGTCATTCGTGTCCTTGGTAACTGTCAGGTAGACACTTTTCCCCGACTGGGTGGCGATCTGGATGATTGGATAGCTTATCCTAAAATAAGTTAACAGGAAATTGTTAAATGCTGCCACGTCCTGTATTATCAAACATGCAGTTATATTAGAAACAAGGTTATTACTATAGATGTCGGTCGTTGTACCTGTTGACCAAGCTGAAATCCTCCTTGCAAATAGCGATGCCTTCAGGACCAACTCCTATTGCCATCCTCTGACCGTCTGCGTCGCGAGCCCAGTGCCACTCCACGCCGTAATGCTCCAGAGAGGAGACCAGCTGCAGGGCCTGATACTCCACTGAGCCCTGGCTCAGACCTTCTAGAGTTTTGTGTCTGGAAATGATACTGCAGGGGCAAAAAAATAATGTTTTTAGTCAGTTGCAGAAAAGCACAAGAGTATATGTATTACCATACTGAGAGCTATAAAATATATAGAGAGACCGGGGCCATTTGCACAACATGTGGGAAGAGAAGGGGAAGCTGCGTTTACACTTTCCCATCTACGCGTCACATTTCGTAACAGAACGCGATCCATGTTCTCAGACGTTAAAAACGCAGTAAAACCGTCGTCCTTGTTATATTTAACGAGAAAGTGGGAGGTTCTGTTAGTGAAACCCTGCGAGCACATGCTATCTGATCTCCTGTCAGCTTCGGTTTGCTGATCAGTGTGTGCATTAGCTCACAGCATACACCAACCATGTGGCTGTGCGTGATGTGTTCTTATCTGAGTCTTTAAGTCTTTCACTTGGAAAAGGAAAAAACAAAAACAAAAAAAAAAAAAAAAACTGCTGCAATGTAGGGGAAAAGTGCAGTCTAGTTTAAAAGACAGTTCTGTTTAACTGTACTGCTTCCTTTTTTGCTGAAGACAGCATTTAAATTTCTTAAATTATTTTAATATTGATGACCATTAGCTGCCACATTATGCCATCTTTGGCTCGTTGCCATGCTCCATTATTTACTTTTCATCATGCCTCCTCGGCTGGACTCCTACCCCCCTCAAAAATAGCGCGGTGGCTTCAGTGACTTTCCAGTGGTACAGAGTGTCTTAGAAAGCATGTTTGTGGGCTATAAAAACTACAGTTGTCTCATAAACTAAGAAAACTTCACTAGAGGTAATGTTAGGCTGCAGCATAATTTATAACTTAGTACATCTTTCATGTGCAAATGTCCCATATTCACAAAGACATTTTATTTTCATGTTTGGCAAGTGCTGTACCTGTCGATGGTGGCGGGGCTGGGCTCTTCTCCACACAGCTCTGAATACCAGTACTGGGCTGTGTTTTGGTTGTAGTCGCCAAACTCTGCTTGTGCCAGGAGTGCACTCAGCTCCTCGGCTTGCTCCGAGCCCATACGCAGGTGACCGTTATGGAGGTCCTCCTTCACGTGCGTAAAGAAAATGTGTCTACAGGGCAGAAAAAGAGGAGAAATAAGAATTTTTCCACACTAAACTCAGCACTAGTGGAGATTTTATTTTATTTATTTAAAAAAAAAAAACTTTACCTAAATAACCAGTGGCTTAAAAAAAATAAACAGAGGGATTCATTTATTACTTTTGACATAGTCATGCAGAACCAACTTCCATGTGTTATACTCAAGTCACCCAGACATGTCAGAGCAGGTGGTCATTGCAAAGCTTAAATCCCATCACAGACTGCAACTGTGTGTGCAGCAGAAGGAAAAACCACTTAGCTCGTACTCGGCGGTTACAACCACTCTCTCCGTTTCTACAACTTCCTCAAAAACATACACCACTAACTTCCTTTAAGTGTAATTTCACTGGAAACCCTAAAAGTAGAAGTTGAGAAACAAAGTTAAAGATGCAAACAACAGCTCTCTAATGTCATGCGCATTTAGACTTTGCAGCTCGATGGGAAACTGAACATGCACTGCTTGGGGCTCAATTACGTGACTGCCGGCCAGGCTCTGTGTGTAATCCATGTCCATCTCTTGGGCTTCTTGCCAAAAATGTGATATAGCCATTTAAACCCTAATTACGTCGTTACTCATGCTTGTGCCTAAAACCAAACCATTTCTGCTCCGAAATGTGGAAGTTTTACAGTGGGCAAATACAAGAACTGTTATTGTTTTGAGTTAATGTTTTAACAGGGAACACACAGTTCTGGCGTGGTCAAGGAAAATATCTCCATACTCCAAAAACACAAGTCTTGACATGTCTTGCTATTGTTTTGACCAAAAGATGTAAGGACTTTTCTTCCTTCTAGCAGCAGGAGACAATACGTCAACAGGAACACCCTAAGTGACTCAGTTCTTACATCATGAAAACACTGAACGCAAGTAACCCAAACGATCCTTCCTCGATTCGACCTATAACAAAGTAACTGTCTATAAACCTGCTCTGCAGCTTCCACCGGACAAACATCCTGATTGTCATCTTTAGTCCTCCAGTGCTCTACAAATAAAACTTAAAATGCACTTTTCTCTATTCTCAGCATTTTTTTGGGAGCTCCATATTCCTGATGTAGACTTAAAGCATATTGTGCCTCAAATTGCTCACTATTTCGACTAAAGCAAAACCTCCCTTGGGCCAAAGTTCCCTTTGAAGCATGATGCCAAGAGAGACATTTTCATTTGTGCAAATCAGGTCATACCGTGACTTGGGGATATTTGAGAAGCTTTACAAGGACATTTATGAGTCGAGTGGAGAAGAAGCACTCACCACACTCTTCATTATGTGTGTACAAAGCCTTTGTTTTGATTATGTGGAAAACGCATCTACTTGAGAACCCCTATGGGAACTACAGAAGACATGGATGTGGCGTTTCCTCTGTCATCTCAGGGGAGCAGGAGGAGCCCACACAGAATATGCACATGCAGTGCATCAGCTTTGCAATGCAAAAAACAAAACAAACAAAAAAACCCCAAAAAAACAAAAAACAAACAAAACAAAAACAAAACAGACACCTCCTCCAACACACATTCGCAGTGTTTCCAGCAGCAAAAAGCAGCTGTGGGGCACACAAACAGTCAAGTCTACACCATCCCAGATAAAGCCAGACTGTAACAACGAAACCCCGCAGCTGACTAGCCTCAGGCATAACAAACACTGCTTTGATATGGTGTTAAACATCCCATTCCCTCAAGCACGCGCACACACAAACACTGCAATCTATTGTGTCAAGCCCAGCAGGCGTCATGTGACAGCGAGCTGCTCGTTAGCTACCTGCCTGACGCAAACAATAGGACCGACTTGACGGAGAGGTTACTACAGGTTGCCGTAAAGGGTTACCATAGGGCAAGCCGCAGAGGTTACTCTAGTTTAAGTGGGGACTGCCAAGATGTACATTGCTGCCATGAACGGCAATTAAAATTTCAAAAGCGCCCTTCAGCACAAGTGCGGACCTGTTGGCTATCGCAGCGCCGATAAGATAAGACAAGACAAAGAGGAGACGTACCCAAAACTTTTACCTCAACATTGCTCGACTTGTGTCAGTGTGCCATGAGATGCACTTTTGGGCCCTTCCCTTTGGCTGCAGGGTAAGACACCAAACTTGTGTTACTCCAGTGTTGTGGGAAGCCAGATATGTGTAAACAGGTGTGCGTGCTTTGCTGAGCTCAGGCTAAAATAACTATTAGGAAGAAAAATCTTGAAGAAGAGGTAACTAGAGATCACTGCTAGTCGTTCCTGTCTGACGAGCCTGAGGTAACAAATATGCACTCCACTGAACACCACAAAAACAACTCGGCACACAACTGCTTCATGTGCACGCGTCCTGCTGTTGTGCTTTTAAACACTGGATTTGAACAGCAACACCACACAGTCACAAATTTAACCTGGTAAAAGCAAGTTTTATCACTTTTGTCCCTGTTAGTTACAAGGCAAGGACTTCCTGACCTATTTGTTGAATAAAGAGCTTTTCAGACAGCTGTGCTAGGATCAGGCAGTCTCAGCACCTGTCAAGATCCTTCCTATTAGACAAGCAAGAGCCCATAAATTCACAATATAACCCAACATGGGAGTTGAGCTTGATTTGCTGATGTGGTCTTGATCCAATTCAGGCAGACTTCCTTAAATTTACTGTGCAGCTTCCTTTTGGAAACACTGAGAAAGAAAGGAAGGATTTGTGACTCAGTATGTCTGGACGCATAAAAAAATAAATAAAATAAAGGGGTGTTAGGTCTTTTACAAATCCTTCAGGGTTACGCGTCTTTTATAACGGCAACAAAAGACAACAGAAATGGACAAATAAACCCCCTCAGGCCCAAGCAAATTGGTTTCCAAGCAGATGATAAAGAATCTAGTCACCGTGACCCCCCTTTGAGTGACCGGAGAGCCATTTATCAGCAGCTAGACAGCTCTCTGAGTCACAGTGTCAAGGAGCAATGCATGATACTATCCAGATACATTTGCACATGCATCATTACTGAAGAAAGTACTTTTAGAGCTGCAGCCATCATCTCAGCATTTGTTTTGTTCTCTAGGCTGATCCAACTAGCGTGCACACATGCAGACTGAATGCCAGGAAATGTGCACAAAGTCTCGTGGCCTACTTCTACTGTATTACTTTGTATACACCCCATTGCTTTGTCTTTTAATGGAGAAAACCCATAAACAAAGGCTTAAAAGGATTACTCATTTACCGTCATAACACTCGTCAGTGCCAAGAGAGCACAGGTGAAATGAAATCTCCTGAAAACAGAGCTTGTGGATGTTGTGGAGATCGTTGTGTGAAGGGCTGTGCAAGAGTTTCAATACTTGATTGCCTAACTGGAATAATTCAATTAAAGCAGGCCTGGGCCCTGAGAACGAATATTTCAAAATAGGTCACCGGCCAAAGAGCGGAGCTAAGAGGGATGAAGATAAATTTTTCAGCTGATTTATTCTGCTCCGTCTTTGAACCATTTGAAAACACTGAAATATCCCTAAAGGAATTGTCCCCCCCCTCCAGCAACTCAGTGAGAACCTTTAATTATTATTTTTTTCTAAATACATTTGCTCTGAAGAAGAAAACAGAACTTTTCAAAGTCAACTAAACTTTCCAGTATGTTCCACCCATCTATAAAAACCATTTCATCTTTTTTTTGTGCCGTGACCAACCACCAAGCTGAATGTCAACCGGTTCATTTCACAGGAGAACAAAACATCCCCGCAAACTGAAACCTAACACCTCCGCCTGCACTTCTTTCAGCCAATCACTACTAGAGTTTCCGACCTCATCGGTTGGACTCTCAACAATGCGGTTTGTAAGTTAGTCAAATAACACCCTGCCAGAAGCAATGTGTCGTGAGGTTACTAGCAGTCAGTGAACTATAGTTACCTCTGCTCATCCTCTCTGAAGCTGTGGGCGGTTTGATCGCATAGTTTGATGCACAGTTGCGCAGCATTAATGCCAAGCGCTAAATAAAACTTGCTTTTGAACTGACAAGTTGGACTGAAAGCCGACACTGTATTAAAACAAAGCCGCTGCTTGTCTGCAACACTTCTTGGGTTTCAAGCAACTGGCTGGTAAAATATTGCCATTACTGCCCAGCATCAAGTTCAGGCACCATAAAAATATAAAAACTGTCATGTTGTGGCTTCAAAAGAACCACGGCAAGGTTACTCAAGTGCACAACAAACAGACGGTAAGAAATTTATACAGAAGCTGGAGGAGAAGAATTACTGATTGTAGAGCTTGCAGATAAAACAACACTCGAAGACCCACAGGCATCATATGTGATCTTTGGCTTAATAGTCTGTGTAGCATGTCACAACGACCTGAAAACGATAATCGAGTGTGACCTGCATAAATTGTTTTTGTAGAACATTCACTCTAAGAGGCCGTGTATGAACTTTGTCAAACACGGCTCGTTCTTCATAGTCCTTATCTGCAATTGTGCGTTATAGAAACAAAACTGATCTGCTGAGAATACAAAAAAAAAAAAAAAAGCAGTCAAATTGAGCTTTTTCTTCACACACACACACACACACACACACACACACACACACACAGGCTCGACTCTGGCTATGTACGTGTAGGCCCAGAGCAGGTTTTAAAAAAAACAACAAAAAACTACCCCACCATGCACAGGAGTATAAAGTAAAAGTCTGTGACAAAAATTCCAATTTGATTTTATCTACAGCCACCGTGGGTAGACAATATTCAGGATTATGCAAGAAAGGTGGTGCACGGTAAGAGAAATGACAAGCAGTGAAGAGTCTTTAAAGTTAAAGCCAAATATTTTTAGTCTACAATCGTTTCCAGTCCTGCGATTCATCACAGAGGAGACCGTTTAGGCAAAACTGTTTAGGGTTTGTCCGTGTCTTTTCTACTTGTGTCACCATCCTGAACAACAGTGATTCAAATAAACATTTTATTCAAAAGCCATAATCAATTAAAATAATTCTCCTTTAAATAAAACTCACTTTGAGTTTGATTTGGATTGATGCTAAACAAAGGCTTAAACCAGAGGAGGCACACGGGTTAACAACCAGGACCTCTGATACAGCCTGTGCTAATAGCTGTGCCTTCTGGGGCCATCTAGTTTTTTGTTTTTTTTACTGCCTGACCAGAATGCTAAACAGGAGTGCTAATGAAGGGGAAAACATTCACATATTTAAACTATAAATGCCCTTTAGCAAGTAGCGTTTAATGATGCAGATAACAGAGACTGTTGAGGCCCTTCTGTCAGCATCCTTTAACCAATAAAAGCAGCATTATTCCAGTAACAGGTCAGTTGATGCTGGATGTTTTATAGAACTTATGGAACGAAGAACTTTTACGAACAGAAGAAAAATACATAAATAAAAACAAACAAGCTGATAGAGAGATGGAAAGAAGCCACCCCAAGTCAATTTTATACACAGTAGCATAAACTGTTCTAGACAAGCTATATTAAACAAGTCTGCAAAAGAAAAGCAAACAGATAAAAAAAAAGTAAATGAGGTTTTAGAAGCATGATCTGGGACACTTTTATCACAGATGCAAGCTGAATTTAAGCCCCGCAATACAGTCACACTGCATACCCTCTTAAATACTATGAATTCAGGTTTAGAGTCTGAATGTCACGTTTATCTACCAAAGATTAAAATGAATTGGCAGAATGTGCCCAAACAGTCTGCTGCATCTGAGCATTAAGGCTTCTTTTAATGCTCACATGCAGGGTTAACACTTGTGACCTGCTAGGCTTAAAGCAGCAGCAAAGTGCGCAGCAGCTTATATAAGCAGCTCTGCAGGTTCATCAGGTTATGTAAGGGCTATAAAGGCCCATAAGGGGACAGTGACAAGGCTATCCTCCAAGCTCTGCATGGAATATTTACTCAAGTTCGCACACACTTGCTACTTATTGCTCAACTGAACACAAGAGGGGGGGAAAAAAAAGCAGCAGAAGATACTCAGATGGGTACACAAATGCCCTCAAAATAATTATTGGATGTTCTGCTGCAGTGGAAAGGGCCTGTAGGTGTGTGACTAACAAAAATGTTTTTTAAAAAGTGGACTGTAGAAGATGGCTTTGTGTCATGAGGCGTGTCATGACAGCATGTGTGCATTCAGAGCAACTTTCAGGAAGTCGTGTAGCTTAATTAGGTCAAAGGTGACAGAACAAGAAAAGGGAAGCTAGTCTGTCTAAGCACCATTTGCTTAAATTTTGAATTTATTTTCTACAAAGCAAAAAACAAAACAAACAAAACAACAAAAAACCTCCAAAACCCATCTTTCAGGAAAACGATGCATTAATCATCTGTGCATTGTAGCTACACAATAAGCTAAAACTGGTCCTTTTGCCTTTCTTTACAAGTACAAAAAATAAATCAATTGGTGTAGAAGGTCCTTGCATGCCACTCTTTTGTAGACCGTTCACTAGCAAAGATGATGTTAAATGCACGCACACAAGATAAAAGTCAAGAAAAAAAATGATGCGAGTCTTTCATAGAAATGCCACCACTCTAAATGCACTAAAAGGATTTTCTGAGCCACGTGCGATTGTCCTCAAAATGCTGCTGCTGTAACATCAACAGCTTGGCCTTCTCTCTAAAAACGGATGCCAGTGTTTGCAGGCTCACCCCTCATATTATATCACATCTGAGCAGACGGACGGCATGAAGGCTGAGCCAAAATTAAACACCTAACCTCACAGCGTGGTGAAGTGTGACATGTGCGAGTATTTATTAGCAGCGACCCACCTGACCTTACCTGCAACTTAAAATCTTTATCTCACTTCTTTTCACCGCCCACCCCCCACGTCTTGACCAAACACCAGCCATCTGCTGATAACTCCTGCTAATCTACTGGAGGTCAGCGCACAGGCAGCCAAGTGTCCTCCGTGCCCTTAGCCCCCCTGACTGTCCTTTCACTTTCTTCTTCAAAAGGTTGCCAAATATGGGCTACAGTGGAGTGGAATAGGAAGATGGAGGGAGAAGAGCCAGAAAGAGAGGAAATAGGAGTGGGCACAGTTTAATCGCCCAACTGCAGCACATGAAGAAACAGTAGAAATCCCCTCTTTTTACATTTGATAGAGCACAGTGAAGGGAGAAGGAAGAGAGTCGGAGAAGTAGGTGAACCGGAGAACAACAGGGACAGTTTAGCTTGATAAATAGTTCTAGTGGAATGCTGCAGTTCAAGTGCTTCCTTGATTCATATCCATGGTATCAAACACTCACCACATCGCCCGGGGTGAACATAACATCAACTCCATCAAAACAAGTTTTTGGGACTCGTTTCAAAGGCTGAAAATTCACTTTCCATTTATAACTTTACAGTCTGTGGGCAGGGGACTACCGAGTCAGACAAGCCTGGGATTGTTACTTGTTTTTTTTTTTTTAAACTAGTCTACCAGAGAAGGGCACATGTTAAAACTACATGTCAACTCACTGTAGCAGCAGTTTTGCTTGCCATCGCCTAATGACCAATAAAGCACAGAAAGTGAACAAGAGTTATCCAGAACTTCAGCTGCAACTGTTATTCTAATTGACGGCATATTCTCGCAAGGGTAAGCACCCCTCACACAAGCTTTTCCCCAAACCGCATCTGCAGAAAAAGCAGAAAACGGGAGGGCTTTTGTTCACACGAAAAACAGCCACGGCCAATTGAAACAAAAAGATATTTCGAGTTGAATGGGAGCAGTGACGAGAGGTCCTGGCTGTCACACAGAGGGTCCCTGGGGGTAGGCTCAGAGCAGCACACAGCACCAGAGCTGCTGGATCATATTTCCTGCCTGGCGCTTCACCAAAATGACCTATAGTAACCCCGGAAGGACTGGGGAAGAGGTTACTATAGGGCATTTTCACTTTGTTGGAAACAGTGATCAGATTATGCTCTGGGAACTCGCCAATGGTGGCTTTGTTTTGTTTCCCCAAACACGTGCTCCTCATTAAAGTCATGAAAAAGAAAATTGATGTCATTTCTTCGACCCGTTTTAGAGGAGATGACGAACACATTTACACACTCAAAACAATAAGAGGAAGTAGTTCAGAGTTATAGCTGTTCTAAGGCCTATGAGCAAATTTCCTTGCACACGGTGTCTTTACAGCGTGCAAACTTTCAAAAGTACCTCGTCTGCTCCTGCAGAATCAGATGGGGCTCCACGAAGAACTTGACCCGCAGCCTGAGCCGACAGGGTGTCAAATTATCCATCTGCTGGCTGATGCGGTTCCTCAGATTCAGCCACAGGTTTTCTCCTTTGCTGCCTGTGAACTGCAGCCCAAAGTAGTCTACTTCGATTATGCCCAACTTTCTGCAAACCTGAAGAAAGGCAAAACAAGCGGGGGTCACAAAAAACAGACGAAGTGAGGCGAGAAGCTTTTCACCACAGGACAGTGACAGATGGTGAAGAGCTCCTTTAAAGAGGCAATCGATAACTTTTCTTGTCATGTGGAAAGTGACGAGAACCAACAGAGTAAAGTCCCACTGGACTTTTTTTTTTTTTTTTTTACAAGGAAATTCACCAGTACTGCTGTTACTGCAGATATGCCAACACACAAACCCCCATCAATATTCTGAAGCTCACGAAGTGAACTTGGAGCCCCTCCCGGGGTACAGGGGCTCATCAAGCCCGCAATCCCACGCTCCTCCGGCGGCAGCAGCCATGGGTTTATTACATAACTGCTGCTGAAAGTCTGCACAGGGAGCCAGGAGGCTGAGATAAAACTCGTTCTGTGCATATTAAATAGATTAACATCATAATGAGGAGGGGAAATGGCAATCAAAGGAAATAACAGTTACTACTGTGTCCATGTTGAGTTGGGGTGGTGGTGGGTAGAGATGTGAAAAAGCTAAGTTTCATCTTGAGAGGCGGCAGGATGACCTGGAGTAACCTGCACAAAGCCATCTGCCTCTGACTAAGCGAAGGAGCCTGAAGTGGCAGTCGGCAGCTTCCCAGCAACCTAACAAAACTTTTCTCTACGTGTTTCAGCTCCGTGTCTTTTTGACAGAAGTGACACTTTAGAGGGTTTGTATTATTAAAATAAAAGAATAACGAAAGAAGAAGAAGAAGAAGAAGAAAAGGACACGAAAGAAAAAAAAGAGTTGACCTTTTTTCTGCACTTGGCGCTCAGAACATTGTTTCCTCAGTCCTAGTTTGCTACAAGCAACAAAGCAGGTGACAGTTTTGTTGTAGCTTAAAGCTGAAGCTCAATGAAGCTGTGGCGAATTAATTAATTCAAGAAATAAAAACAAATAAAATCTTCTAATCGTGCAGAAACTCGGCTCTTCAGTCTTATTCACCACATATAGTCGACTCATAAATGAGCGCGACACATTAGAGGTGAAGTTTTCTGAAACATAAGAAAATATTTTTCGGACGACCCGAGCCGTGCTGCCTCACCGACGGACATACGGCGACGTTATTTTCACATTAAGACACAAAGAAGAATAAAACGTGCAGCCCGTCTTTACCTTGTTGAGGCAATCTTCACCGTTCGCCTTCGCATCAACTTCCACTTCCATCACCACCGAATCCGGACGAGTAACGTGGCAGAGCATTTTGACTGTTTTGTTTCTGAAAATCTTTGGTGTGCCACTCTTTAAAACACTCTACCAACTCTCGAGCCTTCGCTTAAAAAAAACACAACCCCTCTACATCAAGCCGTCATCACTTTCTTAGCCCTTTCACTCCGTTTGGTGTCCGCAGCCACCAGCTGTAGGGTATATCAATGAAACGCCGCGCACAGCACCGCCTATTTGACATCCTGAGCCAATGAGAAGTGGCGTATCATCCGCACGCCGCTCGGGCTCGAGCTCGCCTCTCGTGCCTTGAACTGTGAGGAGTCCACTGCGCCCTCACTTGGCTCGCCTGTTGCATGCACCTGAACTCACCTTGTCCTCGTGGCTGTGATGTTTCAGCGAGCTCGCGCGGATCTCGGGGTGAGTTTAATGGCTTGTGTGCCGTCTACCCTTCGTTTCGTGTGAATAATGTATGTGGAAGCAGTCCAGAAATAACTCCCATAACTGGAGCGCATTCAGCTTCGCTGGCTTGCTGTTTTCCATCCAAAGCTTTTTGTGATTTTTTTTAATATACATTAGCAACTTCAACTTTTCCATAACGCTGCTCCGTTTGAGTGTCGGAGAACGTGAAACTGTTTGATTATAGTGTGTCAAGGTGGGGGAAAAGGTCAAGATAAAACAACTAAGAGAGACTTAATAATTCACCCTGCTCTACCTCATCATTTCTTCACATCTTGCTATTTCATGATATATTATTCAGCATCAGTCTGCAGTGATGCCAGATAAGACACTGCAGAAAGCTGCAGCCACACTTAAACTATGGAGGCATAGTATTCAGCCAAGCTCTGAGTTTTCCTGCCAGCGGACATTTTAGAGTAGATGCAGTGTGCTTCTCTATATTTTTCTACTCCCCAGCCACTGCATTACTGCCTCGCCGAGTCCTAAAAACACTCACTTCATCATCTAGATATTGTATTAAAGCACTTACTTGGAAGGGATGTGAAAATAAGGTTCAGCTTTACATACTGCACATTTAAAGATGTATAATGTGTTCTGTGGCCCTTTTATTTGGATCACTTTTTGAATGCCAAAAAGCACTGACACTTTTCTTCAAATGAAGTAATTTCCTGGCAGCTGTATTTTTGTCTGTGCTAGCTTCCGATTTATCACATTTAAATCTTACCTGAGGATCCAGGTTTCATTTATTTATGCCATGAAAATCCTTGTGAGACGAGTAAAGTGATTTCACCCAAACTTGGGTTCCGGATAGATTTTGCCAATCTGGGTAGCACCATAAATTTTTATCAGGGCTCCATAAACACAAACAGAGTAAACAGGCGAGTTTATCGTGTTAAAGGTGGCTACAATTGGTCACGTCATGTTTATCTTTTAAAAAACTGATTGACGTGGAATCTGTAGAATGTGATGTTCATGTCATATTGAATTCACTTAAATGTAGTTGTATTCATATTTCAGTTTACTAAACAACAGTTGCCTTCAGGTGCTTTAGAGTGTACGGAAAGACGCTACAAAATTAGAAAGAAAACCCCAACAACCACGCAGCACTCTGAGCAAGCACTCTGTGACAGTGGGAAGGAAAAACTCCCTTTTAACAAGGAGAAACCTCAGGCAGAGCCAGGGTCAGCGAATGGCAACCATCTGTTGCGACAGGGGGTGAGGAGAGGATGATGGGACAAAAGACACACTATGGAAGCGGGTCACAGATTAATAGTAACTAATGGCGATCGTGGCTCAATTACAAGGCCTTGTAATCGGAAGGTTACCGGTTCGAGCCCCGCCTTGGACAGTCTCTGTAGTTGTGTCCTTGGGCAAGACACTTCACCCGTTGCCCGGTGGCGCCAGTGTCCGGCAGCCTCGCCTCTGTCAGTGCGCCCCAGGGTGGCTGTGGCTACAATGTAGAGGGACTAGTAAAGCGCTATACAAATACAGGCCATTTACCATTTAATGATTAAATGCACAGAGGTGTGTAAACACATAGAGTGAAAAGAGGTGAGTGAAGAAGAAACACTCAGTGCATCATGGAAAGACCCCTTTAGCCTAGACCTTTCGCAGTATAACTTATAGAGAGGATTCATGGGTCACCTGATTCAGCCCTGACTATAAACTTTATCAAAAAATAAAGTTTTTTAAAAGTTTAATCTTAAAAATAGAGGGTGTGTTTCTTTCTGAAATCCAAACTGGGAGATGGTTCCACAGAAAAGGGGCCTGAACGCTGAACTCTGGGTCCCATTCTACTTTTAAATAGCCTATCAGCAGTCTGATAACAAAGTGCTCTGTTAGGATAGGTACTAAGAGGTCTTTAAGATATGACATGGCCTGATTATTCAAGATTTTGGGAGAAAGATATTAAATTGAATTTTAAATATAACAGGGATTTATCAGAAGAAGCCAATATGGAAGAAATATATGCTGTTTTTCCTAATCCCTGTCAGTACTCTAGCTGCCGGATTGTGGATCAACTGAAGGCTTTTCAGGAAGCTTTTAGAGCGATCCAATAATAATGAATCACAGTAGTCCAGACTAGAACTACTAGGTTTTTATTGTTGATCACATTAGATAAAACCAGTATGAGAAATGTTATTATTCTCATTTCAGTCATTATCAATTTCTCTTCCCTTCAACGACACATCGCTGCCTATATTCAAACGTCGACTCAACAGATTTTATCTGATGTAACATTTATGTGTGTCTTTCTGTGTGTGAGAATGTCAGCCAGCTTAGAGTAGGCAATGTCCTTTTGCCCCGAGGTGATGCAAGAAAGTGTGCAGTGAATGAGCAGAGAGACGTGACGTCTGAGCAGCCACCAGGACCATAAATGGAAAAGCAAGCATATAGCCAGTGACCTAACATTCGCTGTTAGTCTGGGACTCACTGAGCAGACTGCCCTCATAAGACCACAAACACACACGTACAAACACGTACTCTACTACTACAACACAAAGAGCTCCAACAGGAGCACAGCTGCTGTTGCTGTTATTGGTTTAAGCTTTCAAAAAATTCTCTCTTTGTCCTACAGCACCCCAAAATAAAGTAAACACATGCACACACAATTGGACAAATGAACCAATATTTATGGCAAACACAAAAACATCTGGAGCAACTCATAGTGATTTTAATGATTCTTTTATTTTTCACTTTAATTAATTGGGTAAATAAAACATAAAATACTTAATGTATATTTTGGTAGCCTGTGACAAAAATAGACAAACTATTTTTGATGCATATCATCGCAACTGTAGCACAAAGAATAAAGCATATAAAGGAAAATCGTTATCACAACTACCATGTTGCACATCTAGGTCAATTTCAAGGGTAGGGCATCTATTTTTTTTTTTTCTTGTACCATCTGCGCTCTTGCACAAACACAGACCATTTGTAGACTCCTGGTTCGAGGCTAGGTATGACATCATGCAATGTGACATCACTTCCCTTTGAGGCAAGTCACATCTCACTCGACTGAAGCATGAACACAGAGCCACGCAGGGGATTTGTGCAAGAGTGTGTGTATGTGTGCATGTGGGCACATGACATCACAACGTCATCACTGCCCAGCTCCACTGGCATAGCTGTGCCTGTTGAAGCAGATATTATGTCAGAATGTGCCATGCTAGCAGAGCTGCTGCGGCTGCTGTTGTTGTGATAGCTGTTACTACTTCGCTTCTTTTTCTGTCAATCTGTCGCTGTTAAGCCAAAGGAAGAGTAGTACTGGGCAGCTGGAGGAGAGGAATTGTTTACCAAAGTATGAGGAGAGGCCAGAGGGCCAGCAGCTCCTCTGAGTCTGAAGAGAATCATCGGCCATGGTCGAAAAACTCAAAGGATCGGTCGTCACCGCGTGGACGCTCGTCAGAGGGAGATTCATCGTCAGAGTCTGATGTGGAGGCAGAAAGAGCAATGAAGAGGAGCCAGAGGTTCAGCAGTTCTTTCAGCTTTGGGGAGGATCAGGAGGCAGCGTCAAAAAACAAAGGTGAAGAAGCAGAACCGTCACCAAAGAACTCTAACAGAGTTTCCGTCAGAGAGGTGGTGGAGTCGGATTCTGAAGGAGAACATGCAGAAATGGAGGAAAGAAACAGTTTTTGTGACACCGATCAGCCAAGGTCAGGTTTATTCAGGCCTCAAGAATTATGGCTGGCGGTGACAAAATGTCTCTCCCTCCGGTGGCCCCCTTGTCTCTCCATCAGCAGACAAAGTAATAAGAAATTAGCCTACCAAGTGGATCTTGACCAATTGGAGGACACGCAGTCATCTGTCACCTCAGAATCAACCAATGAGAGTTCTTCTAGTACATCTACCTCAGATGGCAGAGATGTGTCTTCGGTGAAGCAAAAGGAAGACGACGTCAGAAGCAGAGGGGTTAAAAGTGGCCCGCCCACTCGTCGAGGGGTGTCTCGGTCCTCTCCCAGATTACCAAGAAGCAGACAAGCTGCAGATTCTGTGCTGGCTTCAATGATGTTGGAGAAAGAAATGTTCCTGAGGATTGAGCTTGTTGATTCAGGAGAAGAGAGGGATGATTTACGCTACCGGGCAGAATGGAAGTTATCAGAGAGAACTAAGGAACTGGCAGAGGGAGTATGGCTCTCTCGAAGCCTAACAGCTAATAGATTGACCTCCTAAATCAGAGGTTTGGTTGTCTTTGATGTGGTGGACTTCATACCATGCACCATGTAGGTTAATTATATTCAAATCTTAGTTAGTCTGACTGCTGATTAGAAATGGCCCAGATTTCGGTGAATAATCAGTGAGATTGTTATTGCATGAAGACTGTGTAAACCACCGCCTGCTGATATAAACTGTGCTGATTCAAATGCAGTCATTGTGGCTAACTAATTAGAAATGCTATTTTCAGAAACGCAGCACTGCACAGTTAGTGTCAGTGTTTATTTTTTTGCCTTTCTGGGTGTCTGAGAAAATATTATACACATGGCTGGTTCCATGTGTGGGAGGAAAGGGAGATTTAATCCAAAATATCATGTGTTTATGAATAAAAGCCTTTTTTGCAACCTGGAGTTTGTTTTTATGAGTAGTGAGAGAATAGTAAAACTACAGACGGTCATACCATGCTGAAATTTGAAAATAAATGCATAGAATAAATGAAAAGTTTAGATGAAAAAAGTGAAATTATTGTGTAAAACTACTACAATGTAAACCCAAAACCAATTTTAATGGACATTCTGTGCCTGCAGGTTATAGAAATC